TCCATGTTAATGAACCATGTACAATCTAACAGATAACGCTGATGTTAAATAAACATGTTTGTATGTGACTCCTAATGCCAGGACTTAGGCAGCTGCAGACAAATAATTTTAAATGGGAAGGATTATGCCCGTGTAGTCTTTCTCATCTCATTTTACACATCTTTGAAATAATTAAAATACATAATTAAAGCACAAGCAGAAAGACTGAGTGAAAAGAGGTTTGACTATTTTTAATTAAATATTTACTCTGTGACACACTCACTGGAACCATCTCTGCAGTGAACATTATTTTGGATCCAATTTTCCTCTCACACCTCTTGCAGCAGTAAATCAAGATCAACTGAACAGCCTGACAAAGAAGGGAGCTGGATCGGGTTTTGAATGCTCCAATAAAAGAATATTTTTCATGGGACTTAAATCCTTATTCCAGTTTTCTCCTCTCTCCTGCTTCAAACCTTGGGTAGCACCAAATCTACCTGCAAATGGCAGCACCTCCAGGCCCCAAATGACCCAACCAAGAGGAGCAATTATTTGCATCCTAATTGAAGGGCTTATCCTCACCTGATTAAAACAAGGTGTTTGTTAAACATCATTACTTGAGTTAAGATCTGCAAATAAAGATGAAGTATTGTTTTAAGAATTTGACTGCCATGACACAATTGTTTTCTGATGGGATCTCTTAATCAACAGTCCCAACAAGGATTTTCAGCAGAAAAGGAAGGGAAAGAGATTTGACAAGTTCTCCCTATTCATATCAAAGTGAGCAAAATGCCAAAAGGTTTGAGTACTTACATTTTTTTTCATAGACATATTAAAAAAAAAATCTTGTATTTTTTACTAAATTAAGCCACCAAAAAGAAGGATGTATTTAAGCCTGAATGGCTTTACTTTTATATATACTATTGTTTGTAACTCTGAATATATTTTTTGTTCCTAACTATTTTTCTGTCATGTGCAGTACAATGTGAAATTTAATGAGAATAACCTGATTGTTAATCCAGGACACTCCTCCATGCACTAACGAAATATACATTGCTACTGCTGTGAAAAATACACAGGTACAAGGAAACTAACTATACACTGGGAACGGCAGGGTGAGATTTCCTTCCTTACATGGTCTACCAAATGACTCCTCCACTTCCAGGCTACATTTAAAATTTTCATATTAAAACCGTAGTGTTCCACGGCTTATGAAAAGGATTTGAATTTGCAACTTCATTTAACAGTTTGTCCCAAATAAGTTACCACAGCCAGGCAAAATTAACTCAAAAATATTTTCTTAGCATTCAAAGAGCTTATGCTAGTTTTCACAGATTTATAAAAGCATTTTTCACTGCATAAGCAATCTTAACAATCATTTCCACAGATTAGATCTAACAACCTGTGAATTTATTGCAGAAGGAATTTACTGCAAGGAATAATTAGTCTTCAGCATTGCTCATGCTTGTTCTCCGGCTGAAGACACCTTAAGAGCATCTGGTTACTGCAAAATTTGGCACAGAAGAAACAAATCTTACTGAAGAGAATTATAGCCGATTTCAGAATAGCTGTTGTACTACTACACATCATAAATAACAGTTGGGAAGACAGCAGAAAATTAGTAACGTCTCTAATTGTTTTCTTTGTCAGCAGAGTGTACATACACACTGACACACAAACACAGCCACGCAGAATTCAGCCCGACGCCTCGCAGGCTTGAAGTTAAACATGCAACTAATATTTGCAGGATTAATAGCTAAATTATTAAATTTTCAGAGGGAAAAAAAAAGAGAAAAGAGTGTACATACACACTGACACACAAACACAGCCACGCAGAATTCAGCCCGACGCCTCGCAGGCTTGAAGTTAAACATGCAACTAATATTTGCAGGATTAATGGCTAAATTATTAAATTTTCAGAGGAAAAAAAAGAGAAAATCATATTAACCAGGTACGCATAACAACACAGCAACACATAAGACTCTTTAAGTGATATTCTGAGATCAAGTTCTTTGTGTGAATACCTGAGTTTAATTCCTTCTTATAATTCAAGGCATATCCGCACACACCGTGGAGTTGAATACGGGGCTTATTGTTGGAGGGGGAGTTATCAACAACATTTTTATTTCTCCCTAATGAAGCTTTTCTAATGGAACCTAAGGCTGCCAATGTTGTGAGGTATTTGAAACAGGAACCTGATTCAAAAATTTCAACCAAATAATGGTGATAAGATTAGCGAGTCATGGGAATGGAGTCTCCACGTACTATTTTAAAAGAAAATGAGCTGAGGGGAGTGGGCTAAGCAAAGTAAAGCAAAACAAACTGATGAGCGTAAAACCAAAAGTATACACCACTTGTTATTTAGCCAAATGTTTTGACCTGTTGGTGGGTGAGTAGAAGAGGCACAAGAATTACATGGACAATTTGATTCTCCAGCTACACAATTCAATTTTACACCATAATTTTTTTTTTTTTAAATTAAGAGTTTTAAGTTAGAACAATTAAGTCAAGTTATCAGCTGCTGTACCATTTCAAGTAAATTCTCAAAACATGCTTAAAAAGTTTCTGGAAAGTCTCCAAAGCTAGGAGCATTGATTATTTTCAAGGCATTTGTACCGCAAGTCTTTCCTACTTGCTTGTGTTACATCTCAGGCCACATGATGCCTTCAATTTCAAAGCAGAAATAAAAATTCAGCTTTATTAAGGAATGGAAACAGTTTCCCCACATAAAAAAAGGATGATGAGAAAAAATGTATCCTGTCTGAAGCAACAAGTAACAAAACAATGCAATGCTAAATGTATGAAACTATCCAAGAAGCATTACTTTAGACACAGAATTACTAGTTTAAATGTATGCCATCTTTTGTGGACCAGATTGCCCTAATAGCCACAGATGTGGACTAGCATGAAGAAGTTTAGACATGCTTTCTCAATAAACTGGGGGAGAAGAAGGGGAGGGACCCTTCCACGGATGGCATTGCGGAGAGAAGAAATTCTCAGTAAATTAATGAAGTCCACAAGAGAGACAAAACAATAAACCATTCCTGCCACTGCTTTTAACAGCGCTCAGGGATGTGTGAATTTGATATTGCGCTGAACAAAATTTCTGTTAATATTTGATGCAGACCAATAAACTGTTTATTGGTTCACTACAAGTATTTTAGCAATCACAACTTTATACAACAGAATATATCATTATTTGAATTGTCTGAACAACAGTAGCTGTATACCATGAACAATTTCCTTTAGAGGCCATTCACAGGGCTCAAGCACAATTTAACACTCAGAAAAGTTTACTTAAACTGCATAAATCACATACAAGTTTTCCTCACAGAAGCAGCCGCGGGAAAGTGCAGCGGCTCATTTTATTTAAACGCACGCTCCAGCTATTAAAATCACTAATAACCGGGGCTCGCTTGACGCCAAAACCGACCCGCACGCTGCGCAGCAATTAGCTCCCCGTGCTAATTCTGGGTCGCGGCTCCGTACGCAGGACCCGCCGCTGCCCCGGAGCCGCTCCGCGCCCGCGCTCCGCCGCAGCCGCCCCCGACGGGCTCCNGTCGCGGAGCTGCCCGCGCCCCCGGGCCGCAGGGAGCGCGGAGCCGCCGCTCCCGGGCGCGGGCCGGGCAGCGCTCTCAGCGGCGGTCCGTACGCGCCGGGCGCGCTTGCTCCCGCCCGTGGCTATGGTTTTATGTCGGTGCTATCAGCTTTGATCGAGCTGCAAGTCTTTGAAATACATTTTTTCCCGTAGAACTTGGACCCTTGAACACCATGTGAATACCACCTTGTCTGTAACCTCTGTTTCTATGAAAACAGTCACTTTAACTGCAGCCCTTGTGTTACGGGTCTCTAGTCACAATTTTTAAATATCAATTTAAAAGGAAGGGCTTTTGTTGATACCTAGTTTGTCTTAACACACAGTGCCACAGAGCCATGGGTTCTGCAGACCTGCAGACACAGGATCACTCACACAAGGCACCCTTCTGCACTCAGGGCATCACACGGCTCCTGGCTCCCCAGAGGGTGAAAGCCTGCCCATAGTTCCCATCACCTCAAGTGACACAGAATGGATTTGTGGCTGTACAGAGGTGCTGTCCCATCTCTCATGCCAGCACAAAAACAGGGGCAGTGCCCCTTGTGCTCCTGCCTGATGTGCTGCACTCCTCCATCAGGCACCTCATCTTCTTGTTTGCACATCCTCTAAGAAAGTGGCAGGAGGCACCTTCAGATGGTTTATGCTGGGAAGATGGGGCTGGGACATCCCACTGCACACCCCTTCCCTGAATCCCCTTGTGCTGTACAACCCACAAACTGCTTCCCCTTGCCCATGCTGGCCTCGTCCCTGCTCAGGTACCAGACAGTTTCCCCCTTCCACTGGCATACCTGCTTGCTGGGGATGCAGCCTGGCCACAGCAGCATTGGAGTGTTTCATTTCCACACCCTGCTCTTCCTCCTTATTTCCCCTCCTCACCAGTCTGGGACAGACTGCATTCCTCCAGTTCTGTCTCTCCAGCACTGGGGAGGCATCAGGGAGACCTGCAATTCCTTGTACTGACGGCTTTTATTACACCTAGCCCTTTCCTCAGGAAGGAGATATCCCATGAACCGCAGTGGAAAAGCCAAAGGAGCACAAAGGGTGTTGAGTTCAGGGTTTGAACAAGCTGCAGCCCACTCATGGATTTAACTCAAAATTTTGACAATGGAACAAAAACATCATTGCAACGAGACAGCTGTTTTTACTATCAAAATCTCTCAGATCAGTTTGACTGCAAAGTGTGTTCCTACAATCCAAAGGAGACAAAGCTCCCAGCATCAGTTTGGAGCTGGCAGGCTTCCTAGCATGAGCTACCTCCCGCCAGCCTAGAAAAACCAAAGCTCTTTCAGTTGTTATTCCCCATCAGTTCTCGGCACTAACCCCCTGATTTCCCCATGGATTATCTGCAGTTCTGAGTTTACACTGCTCTCACATTAAACTCTGAGCAAGCATTGGTTGGGGGGGGCTTCCTTGCTGCCTTTCTCACCTGTAATTGGGGTTCTGGTGAGGAGTCTCTGAAGTACAAGAAAGTCCTTGGATCCATCTTGAAAAGAAATCTTTTCCTTCCTCAACCTGCCGTGCCCAAAAGCCTGATTGCCACATTAGCTCCTTTTGAAGCTGGTTTTAACAAGTAAATTCATATCTAAAAATGCCTTGTTTGCAAAATTCTCCCGACTCCTGATTTCACAACATATTTGAATATATGCTTAGTTTTATGCATGTGAATAGGCCTACAACAATCAATACAATTATTTACCTAAGTGCTTAAAGTCAGGCAGGTATTTAAGAATTAGTATTGTTTGTGGTAATGCCACAGCAAGCCAGGCAGGGACCAGGACCTCATTGTTTGTTCAGCAACCTGCACACAAAAAGACACTCCTTGTCCCTTTCAGTATAAGTAATTTTTGTAAGTTGTGAGTAACTTGTGAATCAGTGCCAAAACCACCTTTCTTGAGCTGGTGAGTAAACATTATTTGTCTACTCTAATATCCTTCTTATTTACCGAAAACATTGTATGCAATATTTAGAAAAGTAATAAAGGCACAGTGGGGAAGGGGTGGGAAAAGAGGAAGATAAAGGATATTTTTTCAATTAGGTATTTTAAGTATTTTCATCATTGTTAGGATCCAGGAACATACCTGTAGATCTTAAAAGCCCTTTAGAAAGGCAAGGGAATAGTATGGCTTCTGCCCCATCAGTGGGGCTGTGGGTGGGTGTGCATGGGTCAGACAGCTGCAAGGTGAGGGACAAGGAGCCAGTCCTTGTAGTTGGCTTGATGAAAGTCTCAAATTTCATCAGGCTGGGGCATCATCCGCCATACAATGCCAGGGATTTCTCAGACCAGTGGAATTTGTTTTGGTCATAAACCAAGGAAGGTTTAGAAGGTGGTTACTCTGTGCTCACTCCCACATGTCTTAAAGATTAAATGGAAATGGTGCAGAAAGCTCCACATAGTCACCAAATGGAAATGCTCCTAACCATTGGGCTGGGTGCCAGTGTCCTGCACAGATTTAAGAGATAATGGTCCTCCTTGGCACCTGAGCAGGCAGACAACACCCTGTCCTTAGGGAGCATGGGGAGCTGTCTTCTGCCAGACCTGGGTTATCCCATAGTGTGGGAGAGCCACACCTCAGCCTCTCTGAGGAGAAGGTGAAGAGGTAGATCCCAAATTTTAGTTACTATGGAAATTTCCCGTGAAGAAATACTACCAGCTTCTACTGTTGACCTTGTTGTCAAAATGAAGAGAACTACATCAGTACAAACAACTGGTTCTGCTTTTAAAAACAATAAATTAGCCAGTACTGAACTTCATCACGGTCCTTCACATTAAAATGTGATGTCCCCCTCTGTCACAAACCAAGGTGAGAAGTCCTTGAAAAGGATGCTGAGGATTTATTGGGGTACTGAATATGGTTAACCCTGAGCATAGAAACACCCCGAGTCAGAAATTGCTTTACAAAGTGTAAGAATTTAAAAATAATGCATTTTGGGCTCTTCCTAATTGTTCTCTGGTCCTTGGGTTCATGTTTTCAATTTCTGTTTGCAACCACAATGCTGAGTAACTTAGTTGTCTTCTAAAATTAAAACTGAGAATCTCACATTTTCATGTTTTCACATGATGCCAGAGCTCAGGCTTTGTGGGGAAAAAAAAAAAACAAAAACAAACCCCAAACACCCCAACCCTCACATTTTAGAAGACTTTCAACAAAATTGCGAAAGTTGGCAATCATAATATTTCCTAACACAGTATTTTGTGGATTCCAGTGAAATTTCATTCTCAAGGCTAATGGTTGCTTTTTCTCTGGTAAATGTCCTGAATTGCTGCTGCTGTTATTGTTAGAACACTGTTAATTTATGCAGTAATTTAAAAACAGAGGAGAGGTACTCTGTCCTCAAGTAATTAGAGGATAAATAACATAATCTAGAGACTATTTTAAATTTCTTTGCTGTACAGCTAAACAGAATTATGTAAAAATGTCCTATTTCACATATTAGTGCTCAGGCCTGCAAGACACCAAGGGTCTGATTCTGGAAATACTTTAAATAAATTTAATTTGAATGCCACCACACTGCCCCCAGTGCAATAAAGCATTTCATATGGGATTGTGCCATCCGAGGGGGCTTAACTGTGCTGTACTTGGTTGCATTTTTGGTGCCAAAACGCTCTGCTCCATGTAGGATGAATTCTTCTGTGGATAACAAGAGCTGTATCAGGATCTGTGTGCTAACATCTCACATTCAGAACCAGAGCCATCAATTCTGAGATTATTCTTCTTATTTCTAAGAATGCCTTGTTTGCAAATTCTCAGGCCACAGCGTTTAACACATTTTATCTCAGTCTTTGGTATTGATGATAAGCCAATATGTGTTGTTTAGCCTGTTTCATCAACATTCAGAACATTTGTAACTGATAAACAAAGTCATGTTAGCTATTAAAGCTCAAAATTAGGCAGGCAGTAAAAAGTAATCTGAGAGCAGGACTGTAGCTACTGATACTATTGAAGCTGGTCTTAAAACATATGGTTTCTAATCATTGACACAATGCACAAAAATAAAACCCTGCGACGGAGGAGTGCCTGATCTATTCACCACTAAATGATCAAATATGCCTGTTTGTTTTTTAGTTTTATGTCCCCTTCCTCTTTCTGGTTTTCAAAAGTAGAAGCTTGCTATTTAATATTAGCTGAAGATTTGGCCCTTTGTACCAGCTGCAGACGGGCTTCGTTAATCAATTTCCACTACTGGATTGAAATGAAAAAAAATCCAGATTTTTTCTTTTCCTGTACTTTCCCACTATTTCGCTTGGAATTTCTCCTGTAGAAACAGTTGATCTCGCTACTCCATCCTTCCTGTTTCCTCATGCTTTAGCGGAAAAATGTTTTGGACTGTGCAGGCAATGCAACTTCACAAATAAAACATCCACTGACAGAAAATGTGTGATTTGTTTCCGGCTGGGATCCTCCACTCTTACGGCAGGCATCTCTAACAATAGGAGTAAACCAAATTTCATCTTTGAGCACAGCTGAAAAATAATTAGTTTGCATAAAAAGGTATTAAACTGAAAAATAAGTATTATGCCCATTTTGGTCTTTTCCTTTATGAGTTTTTTTTCAAGACGTCTTTTAATAACATAATGTGAGACTAAAATTCTTGTCTTGTGCTGCCTGCATGGAGCATTATATGCAAATACGTGGTTCCTGCTGACTCACTTTGCCACATGCAGTTACAAACCCAGATCTGAATATGGGAAATGCCATGGCTCTGCTGGTGGAAGGAATGATGGTCTGCAGGAGAGATTTGAAAACCTGCCCCTGAGCTGAAGCAATATTTTAAAGTTAAGCTTTGATGTTATTTCAATTACCAGCAATAAAAATTAAAAAAAAAAAATCACTAGGAAGAATTTGGACATCGATCCATTTGGAGAGGAGGTGCAGGATTGGGGGAAACTTTTTTACACTAGAGCTGAGAAATGAGCAATTTTCAGTTCTAATCAATGTGTGCATCAAAAGCCAGATTAATAAAATCTATATTAGCTTTTAATAAAAGCACATTCCCTTTGAATCTAGTATGTATTGGGGACCCAAAAGGAAGACACATGGTCCACTCCTGTGGCTATGAGTAAAAACAGAAGGGATTTGTGCAGTTATTTTCTCATGGGTCCTTGGCTTTTTAAAATTTTTTTCTTTACACTTCAGGTGAAACATTTTGTAGATAACAGCTTCCTCTTCAGAGAAGACTTATGAATTCCATAGGCTGGCAAACGTCCTCATGAATTACAGCTTCTGGCTCTGTTTCATTATGACTGGAGCAGTGTGCATGAGGCGAAACATAATTTGAAGTTGCCTCTGACCCATATAAAGTTGCATCTCTCTCTAGGTGGCTGATGTTTCAGTAAGCCAAAAAAAGCTGGATTTTGGGTGGGCTCCAAACAAGGCACTGGTTGGCTTTTGATGCAGCAGCATCAAAGTGCCCTGGCTGGGCTGCAGCAGCAACTCAGTAGCGTTGCTGGGACAGAGAGCCTCAGCAGTCTCCCAGAAATATTTAATCTAATTTATCTTGTAGAGCTGCAAGTATTTTGGAAGTTGACTCATACAGGAATGAAAAGCCATTCTTCTTGATTTTGACTGCAAGGAAGAGCTTGATTTTAGGAATTGGAATGCAAGCACTCCAAAACTTTTTTAGTATGCCTGTTCTAGTGGGAATGAGTCTCATTATTATGTACATTAAAATTGATAATCAAAGACAAATGCTTCAGTCTGTTATTTTAAACTTGGAGAATGTTTACCTAAATTCTATCTACTTTCATTCAGGAATTCTCATCTGGCTTTCTAAACTGTTCTCTATCTTTAAAGAACGTTTCTTTAAATCACATCATACTTGATGGAAAAGTAGGGGCAAATTCAGTTGTACTTTGAATGTAATTTAGCTGCACCATAGAAACAGGCTCTCAAACCTTTCATCGAACTGATTTACGAGCGGAACTAAGGTTTGCTTAGTACAACATTTTCACAGTAAGAGTTACATTCCCACAAAAGGGAATGCTGTCAGGTAGAATGACCATGAGTCAATTCTGCCAAACCAATTGCTTTGTTCAGATAAGCCACTCTGGCTGCCACAAAACTTTAATTAGAAATTTAACACAATATTTAAAAAATTGCTCCAAACCATGGCTGTTAAGTATTTTGAAACAGAGCATTTTGCTAATTTCCCATCATTAGTAGTTACTGCACTTTTATATTTGTTTTACAAACTAATGAAAGGGCAGATGCTGGAAGAAGTGGAATGTATCAAAGGAGATATGCTTCCAGAGTGCAACTTGTACTGCATTTAATATTGCTTGGGATTACCAACTGGAAAGATCCACTCCAAATTAAAAGAGTAAGTGTTCTTTCCTAACTCCTATGCAAATACAGCGAAATTCAAGAAAATCAGATCTAGTCAGTCAGTGCTAGGAAATCACTAATAGTGTATTCTCAAATTTTTCATCAAGCACACAATTATTCCCTTCTTGTTTATTATGACAGAGATCATTTGCATCTTGCTAATCCATATTAGGGGCAGGAATAAGCCC